GGAAAGGGCAAAGCAAAAAAGCCGGGCGGAGGTTTGGTGCGTGCCCCGGTCTGCGGGGCGGGCCGGTCCCCCTCCCTCCCCGCCCGCGGGGGTCAGTGGCCGCGCCGCGCTCCTGCAGGTGGGTGCTGCGGGGTCCCACGCGTGTCCGGGGGTGGGGGGGTCCGGGGTGCGGGCACACACGAGTGGGGCGGTGCACCGGGTGGGAGCCGTCGTTTCTGTTCTTACCCACTTCCACGGGGCATTTCTGGCACCGTACCGCTCGCCCCCCGGGCCCGGAGCGGGTCCCAGGAGGAGCTATTGCACATCGCTGATGTTCTTCGCGTGAGGTGGCAGCACAGCGCGTCAGGGGCGGGGGGCGACGTCAGGGTTAAATGCCGAGATTGAAACTGAGGTGGGGCGATGCTGTCGCTCGGGGTCTGGGGGTGCAACACCTGACTCTCGGCCTTTGCCCTTTGTGTTTCAGGGCTTCCCGAGGAGCGCTGGGCACCCACCCGCACCCCCAGCCCGGCCATGCCACCCCCCACTCCCACGGGGCGAGCCCCCGGCCCTCCGGACGGCGGCTGGGGTTGGGCGGTGGTCTTCGGCGCTTTCATCTCTATCGGCTTCGCGTACGCCTTCCCCAAAGGCTTAGCCATCTTCTTCAAAGAAATCCAGGATTTCTTTGGCACGTCCTATAGCGAGATCGCGTGGGTCTCCTCGATTATGCTGGCTACGACGTACGGTGCAGGTGAGTAAACCTGCACCAGCCGCTGCGGCGCGGCGGGTTGCAAAAGCAGAAATAAGCCAGAAATCTCCGCTCCGGGCCAGCGTACAGGGAAAGCACCAGTGTCCTTCTGCACGGGCACTATCAGCAGGTTTATCTTCTGATTGTGTTTCCAGTGTTGTTTAGGGAAACAAGTTGTGTGTGTAGCCTAAACAGGCCAAAGGGCAGTTTTTTGGGGGTAAATCAGTGTTGGTTGGGATTTTCAAGCAAATTTGTCACTGGGTTCAGTGGGTGCAGGCGTCTTTTGACCACTTTGGTTGCCTTTTGGGCCTGTGAGGGACTCCAGATGCCTTTGAAAATGTGGTCTGTGACCAGTTTGGTGCTGACATCCCCTTTATTTCCAGCTCGGTGTGCAACACCTTTGCTGCTTTTCAAAATAGGGCTCACTCCGCTAATACAGGCACGTGGAAGCCTTCGTAAAGGGGCGCAGTATCCTCTGTGCACCAGAGGCTGAGGTGCATGATGTGTCCCTTCGCTGTGTCCCCTGCCCCGGCCACACTGTCAGCCATGGGCTGCGTTGGGGGATTCCTCTGACACTACAAACAGAGCATGGCCTTGGCCCTGTCACGCAGCATCTCCATTGCCCCAAAGATGGGCAGCACCAGCCCTGCTCCTTGTGTCCGAGTGGCGAGGGGCAGGCGAGCGGGTTTTGTGAAGAGACACTGGCATTCTCCTGCCTTGCTTTGACACAAATTTGTAACTTTGCACCCAAGAAGCTCTGAAATACCACCATGGCATGTTGCTGGGTGTAAGACTGGTAGTCCCCTACCCAAAAACTAGAAGACTACCTACAAAAGCTTTCTGTGGGCATCAGTGAAAAAGCCCTGAGAACAGGCTGGTGTGACATAGCTGGGTCTGGGTTTCAGCCATATGTAAGCATGGAGTAGAGCAATAAATGAAGTAGCTGCTTGTTTATTGTGGCAGCTTATAATTGCAGCAATGAAATCACCAGAGTCAATCATTCTTATCAGCTGCAAAGCAGTGCCTATAACTTTGTTCCTTTTTTATGATTTTGATATCACTTTCATGACTCAGTGAAAAACTTGGGCTGCCTTTGATTAAATCTGCAATGGGAGGTAGACAGGAACCATGCTCTGTAATCGCAGGAAACTTCATCAGTATTTATCCTGGCTATTAAAACAATTCTGAAAATATTATTTGTTTTTAAAAAGGGATTTTTTTTTTTTGTTATTCCTTAATAGTGCACTGTAGTGCTTTTTCAAGGGCAGAGTTGGTAATGAAAGTAAAGATGCTGTGTAAAGGTCTTTGTAAAGGTTTGGAAAGTGGAAGCGATGCTTGAATCAGAGCCCATTGTAATCTACTCTCTTGTAACCCACTGCAAAGGCTTGGTCCCATGGAGGGTAGCTCTGCAAGGGCTGAGTCCCTGTTTGAGAGCCCACAAATGGAGCACTTTGAGGGCAAAACCCCAAGCAGTGATTTAGAAAGAGAAATCCTCCGCTTAAGCCAGTGCTGTTGTCCCTGGCTACCCCCTTGGGCTACCTGATGGGGTTCTGTGCCCGAGCCCTGGGGAACGCTGCGGCTTTGGGATAGATTTCCACTGGGACTTGTTATTAAATGCAGAGAAAAGCACTTTTGCCTCGGCCCCAGCAAAATATAAATAAGCAGACTGCGGTGAAAAGGAAACAGCCAAGCTCTGTATAGGCTGAATAGGAGCAAGTTGGTTGTGGTGGAGGGGGGAAGCATTGTCATGGGGAGGCAGGTGGAAGGACCCTTGTCATTTAGATGGTACTTAAATGTTGTTTTAAAGGGATGGGGTAAATTATGTGGAATGTCTCTGTAGAAAGCAGTCAGGTGGAAAAAAAAAAAAGCAGGCAGCCCCTTCCTTTGGTGTATTCATTTGCCTACAGATTAGTGTTCAGGAAGCTGCATGGTTTGGAAGTCAAAGAGAGATGACTAATATTTGGTACCAGAGTATGTGAAGGAGCGGAGGCTTCTGTAAATTTCGTGGTCTGGTACTAAAATTAGAATATCACTTGTTGGGAAGGTTGTGATTGGGTTTTTAATATAGGTGAGTGTACTAAATGTGTCTGATGGAGAGCAGAGACGGCTGCTCTCCCTGATGGTTGGGTCCCTAACACATTTCTTTCTGTCTTCCCAGCAGCTCAGGGCATCACAGAGTGCAAGCCTTCTGGGGAAACTCTGTTTCTTCCACTACACTCAGTCTTGGGTAGATGTTAGCTGAGGCTCAGGGCACCATGATGATTATGTCCCTTTTGAGGACAGGCTGAGAGAGTTGGGGTTGTTCTGCCTGGAGAAGGCTCTGAGGAGACCTTCGAGCGGCCTCCCAGTACTGAAAGGGGCTACAGGAAAGGTGGGAGGGACTCTGCATCAGGGGGTGTAGGATAGGATGAGGGGTAACAGTTTTAAACTGAAAGAGGGCAGATTTAGTTTAGATGTAATGAAGAAATTCTTCCCTGCGAGGGTGGTGATGCCCTGGCAGAGGTTGCCCAGAGAAGCTGTGGCTGCCCCCTCCCTGGAAGGGTTCAAGGCCAGGTTGGACGGGGCTTTGGGCAACCTGGGCTAGTGGAAGGTGTCCCTGCCCATGTCAGGGGGGCTGGAACTAGATGATCTTTAAGGTCCCTTCCATCCCAAACCATTCTCTGATTCTGTGATGACCTTATGATTTCAACCACCATCATCCACAGTGAAGCAGTGGGAAACCCTGCTCTGTCATGGGGTGGGGGGAGACCTTGATGGAGCAGCCCCAGAAATCATGTCCCTTCTGCAGACTGCCTGTCCTGTAACACTGCAATAAATGTGCCAAAGTAATTACCTGTAGGCTGGGGGTTCAATGGCTGCCTCTGTGGGTTGCTGCCAGCTCTGCCTCATCTTCCAATAAAAACATGTTCCCCTGCTCGCTGGTATGGAAGAGATGCTTTGTGCCTGACTATGACAAGCGAGGAACATGCTCTGCAGATTAACCCTGCACCTGGCCGAGCCTGAAGTTGCTCACGGGGGTGTAGATGGGGGGCTTTAGCTTCTGAGGGTGCAGGTCATGGCCAACAAAGTGATGCTGGAACAGGTGAAATGCTTCTCTGATTGCCTCTGCCTTCTCCCACCTGCAGACCTTCCAACCAACTTTCTTCTCTTTCTCTCCAAACATTCAAGCCAGTGCCCTGTGCTCTATACCTGGGATGTTGTAATGGACTTTTATCCCCATTAACTGAGCATCTCCTGTCTTTTTTTAAGGAGCTTTAACTTCGCCCTCCCTTATGCTATTATACGGTAATATGGGGGATGATACAGCTGTTAGACTTAATTGCAGGTGATTGTACTTTGTACCTTCCCACCTGCCTTGCAGTTGCTCAGAGTTACGTCCATTTAATAGTCCTCCCCTCCTCTGCTCTGCTCTTGAATAAGATTTATGGTTGTTTGATCATCCCTCTCTGCAGCAATCCAGGCTGAGCCACTGAGTCGCTCAGTGGCTGCAAACGGGGCCATGGTGGGAGTTTGCAGAACGTGGAGCAAGTGAAACACACATGCCCAAGAGCATATTTAACACATCGAATTTGACTGACTGGGCATTTAATGCCAGAGTGCATTTGACTTATGAACGACTTCAGTGATTTGGAAATTCTCATTAAAGGAACGGGGCGACGGTTCCTGTGAGCTGCCAAAGTCTTGCTCTGCCGTGGTGCCTGTTAGAGCTGTTGGGATGCCTGTGCAGCAAAGCTTCATTTGCTGAAAAACTAGAAAGTAGCTTAACACTAGAATATTGCTCATCTTGTCTAAAAAAACAGAAATTCCAAAAATGCTGAAGGAAGCTTTCAACATAGTCCTGAGTAACTAATAGAGTGGCTAAACCAGGTAGTTATTGCCATGGCTTGTCCATTCCTTCTTTTCCTTTCCCAAAGCAGTGGTGAGGCAGAACTGCCAGAGTCTGCGTGGAGGTGCAGGGGTGGGTGGGCTGCAACCACGCAGGAACCACGGTGTGTGTACTGAGCATCTCCTGTGCGAGGTGCCAGACCCTGTGTCCTGGGGGGCTGGAGGGGCCAAGTGGTGCATTTGCTGGTGTCAGGTGTGGGCATCACAGCTATGAAAGGAAAGCCCCAAACCTGCCTCACCTCCATCCCTTCCCCCTGCTCCAGCAGCAAATGGCTGTGATTTGGAAACTTTCCTCAAGAGTGCACGGGCTCCGCTGTTTGTTCAGTCGGCTGCCGGGAAAGGCTGTAGCGTTGCTGTTCCCTCCCTAGTGTTCAGCCAGGTCTCTGGGCTGTGCCGTGGCTCTCCGAGCCAGGACTTGGGGCATCGAGGCTGGCATTTGAACACAGGGATGTCCCCCACGAGGACTGATCCCAAGCTTGGGGCAGCCGTGCCACCCGCCGCCATGGCAGGGTGTGCGGTGTCTGATGCTCTCACTGACAACAGCTTTTGTTTGCAAACATCCTCAGCAGACAGTCCCTCATTTCCTTGGCATGCTCGTTGGTGTGTGAGCTTGTTTTTAGGCTGTGCTGCTTACTGTGTAACAGAGCTTATGTTTGCATTTCGTAAATAATGCAAATGAAACATATTTTCTGAAAATACTCGCATGAACTAACCCAAACCTCCACTGGAGTGGCTCTGTTGACTTTGACAGCATGGATGCAGATTTATGGTGACCACCTGAGGCTTTGGCTTGTAGCACTGAAGCAGTTCCAGTTTTTCAGACTGAAACTGAAAATCAGCAGCCGAGACTGTTTTGCCCTTCACTTTTTGCTTAATTCCCCATGGAAGCTGTTTTACACCAGCCGAGGTTCTGGCAATATATATTGCAGAAGTTTTAATGTGTCTTATCCCCCAGTTTCTTAATCTGAACTAGGCTGCAGAAAACAATTCTGTCACTATAATACAAGTAGTAAAACAGATTAGTGTGCAGTAAAGTGGATAGCCTGGACTTTATGATAGGGTACTTGTAGTTCTTGCCGGTGTTCATGTTCAGAAAGTCCACGTTTCCAGTTGTGGAG